TACAACCTTCCTAACCCCAAGTTGTTGCTGTCAGAGAGAAACAGCAACTCCCCACAGGAATAAAAGGTGTTTTGTTTTCTGAGATTGCTACCACAGTTTTGATGTGATCAGTTCTTCACTAAGGGTTTTTCCTGTGCTGGTCTAACTGACACGACCCCAAACCCACTCCAAGCTTGTATTTTCTTGCTGTGTTTCACTTGGTCTGACATTGGCCAGGAAGAGGTCAGCCAGGTCCACACTAAGCACTGAACATGCTCACCTAGAAGCTTGGGCCATCTGACCAAACAGATGCAAGTTAAACCTGGGCAGCTCTCCTGCATGCAGAGCTCTCCTCTGCTTAGCACTTCAGTCCCAGGCACAGATGATATTCCTCCCTCTCCTTTCTCCCCACTCCAAATGCTCATCTCTGCTCTGGCCCCATGAGCTGGAGGTTGTGCCGAGCACAGGAGCACAACCAAGGCTGATGGACTCTCACTATGAGTCAGGGGGGAGAGATGGAGAAGGACGGGCACAGAGTCAGTGAGTAAAGCAGAGAGATCCCTGGCACTGGGATCAGCTGCCACAAAGAGCAGTGTCAGTGTGAAGCCTGTCTTTTGGCTGACTCTCAAGGGGATCTCCAGAGCTGCTTCACTTCAAACAAAGCCAGGCTTGGACCGTGAGCTGGAACTACTCACATCCTCCATAGATTGGCAAAGGAGAGGAAACCTTTGGAAACATTCACCCACTCATTGACTATTAACTTAAAAGGGGGAACTGCATGTGCATTCCTCTTTTTTTTAACCTTGAGAAGTCACCCTTTGGCCTTCTCTGCTCCATAAGTCACCCCCTGAGCAGGAACGGGTGCTGTGCTGGCAGTGGGAGTGCAGAGCCTGCCTTCCCATTGCCAGGGCACGCTGTTCCCTGGGGCTATTTATAGCCAGAGCTCAAGAGGCCGATGGGTTTTTTGCTTTGTAACTGCAGAACACCAGGGGAAGGCTGACCCTCTCCATGCCCAGTTCTCCCAGCACTGATAACACTCCCAGAGCTCACGGCTACACTTCAGATTTCTCCAGTCTAAAAATACCAGCAGGTAGGACCAGGTCCAGCACAGCTGGGAGGGAGGAGAGGATGTTTCTCTTCAAGGAGTGACGACTTTGGCTTTCCTGAGCACTTGCCTTGTGCACTTTAAGGGCCTCCAACCACGCACGAACCCCGCAGTACAATTTTAGGGAAGAGGATCACTGGGATGCATCTGAGAAACGCTTGAGATTTACGCATGCAGGTGAGTGGAAGAGATGATCCTGTAATAAATTCAGCTGGATTCCGGAAACACAAGCACTTCACATCCGCATGATTCATGCAGGGAGAGAAAGGGAGTTTGGCTTCGGGGCCGATGACGGCAATTCCTGGAAGCATTTTTCCAGGCTGAGCCTGGACGGGCGCAGGCGCGGGGCCGCTGCTGCCGCCCTCTCCTGGCAGCCGCAAAGGTGATGGGGCTTCTCATCCAAGACATTCTTCCCAGCAGCAGAAATTTTCCAAACAAACCCTGCTTGAATTACAAATCCATGCGCTGCCCCCGCACTTGCTCGGTTGTTGCCTTGACAGATTTACTATTTTAAGCACGAGATTGCTTTCTGTTCAGCCTCGCTTGTTCTGTACCGAGTTATGAGGCTGAACTTTAGAGACTTTCCAGAAAGAGGCTGTAAACTCAGGGTGATAGTCCTGCCTAAGGGAAAGGGGCAGCTTTCTATCATAAAAGTCCAAAGACAAAGAGGACAGGGGTGGCACAGAAACAAGTGACCTGCTGGCAGAAGTCACAGGTGGGAAACTCCCTGTGACACTTCACTTACAGACCCACCTTAGTGCTGCTGTGAGAGCAGGAATTTCTGCTCAAGAGCTGTTGCTGACCAATAACCAGTATTTTTGACACCATCACTGACAGAATCATCACTTACCTGCTCAGCTTGTCCAGAAGTGCTCCAGGTAAGAAGCAAACGAGCATGGCAACTCAGAGCTTCACCTGGGCAGCTCAGCAGGGTCCATAGCCCAGAGGCAGCTTTGCAGTGAAAGGCAGAAAAGTGACTGAAAACCCTTTTAAGCCTCAGGCAGCTGGAGCAGAGGGGTTCCTACAATATAACACTGCAGGGTTTGGTCATGCAAAGACATTCATTCCCGTGGAGGCAGCAACTCTTCACACCAGCAAAGGTTTCCAGAGGTGCTGCTGTAAATTACAGCACAGGGTCTCTAAGTAGTACTTTGCACCTGGACTACACTACACCAGTATGAGTAAGGACTGGAGGCAACCTGGGTCTCAGAGGCATAAAAGGACTGGCCAAGGTTACACAGAAAACAAAGGTTATAACCAGAAGTAAAGCTCAAAGGCACAATTCCTACTCTTCTCTGCACATGCCAGAGTTGTAGGGGGGCAGAAAACAGCTGACAGAGGAATAAGTAGTAAAACAACTTCCAGATAAACCCCTAAATAAGATTTCCTGCATTTTAAGCAGCAGGTTTCTGGGGAGATACTTCTACTTGGAAAGCTGTGGGAATGGCAGCATAACTTGCAGTTAATAAGCTGCTGAGTAAGCTGTGGAACTGAAATACAGATGAGATAATTAGGAGTCACTTTAGAAGGTCAAGCTGTGGATCAACCATCAGCAAGGAGGAGGGTACTCTATATATTAAAGTGCACACCCAGAAGTCACTTGCAGCTCAGCAGCCAGGACTGGAGTTGGCTACAAAAGGTCCAGGAACAGTTTCCCTGCGTGGCAGGCAGCAGGCAGCAGACCTGGGTGTTGTTCCCCCAGCAGAACCAGGGACCTCCTGCCTGAAGCTGCTGTTGGTTTTCATGTAACAATCTCCAAGGCAATGGCACAACATGGACTGGTGTCAGACTCCTCTGGCTCAGAACATCTCCCAGACCACACCATCCTGTGGCTACCTAGAGCATCCTCCACCATCAAAGCAGCTCAGTCACACCCCTTCTGCCCCAAGCTCAAGGAGACTTGTTTTGAAGCAACTTCTAAAGTCTGTAATCCCAAAGAGAGCAGAAAACAGAGTCTTTTAATAGCTTTACGAGCTCATAAAGACAAATATCTTCTCCCAAGAATAAACAGGCAGAACATTCCACTCCTACTCTGAAAACAAGAACTTGCTGTAATTGAAGAGTGGGGATACAACACAACCGTCCACAGGAAAAAATACCAAAAAATACCCCCAGAGTCTTTACTAGTTGGGGGTGAATTTGCCTACAACAGCTTGGAAAGGTGGGAGAGGAGAAACCAGCATCTTCCACACAGATTTCATTATCAGTATCCAGCACTTTGTGATTTAACAGTGGCTGTGACTACCTCCCTCCCCTAAAAATGGTACTTTTCACTGAAGTCTGTTCTGCTCTGCAGAGTTGAGGCTTTAAAGGAAAGCTATTTTTTGTAAAAATCCCTGAACACTTTTCCTCATAAGTCTCCCTTAACACCACGCAGCTTCCCAAGATGCCAGCCAGCCTTGGGAAAAGTGGCAAGAAATTTGATATTAATAACTGAGCAAACTTCCTCCCAGATCTGTACAGGATAATGAGATACCAGGCTGGAGCTAGAAACCACAAGGATTTAATTTCTCTTCTCAAAGAGTTCTAACAAACACTTAAATATTACTATGACCTCCCCAAACATTCCACCTTGTGCACTGGAGGAAAAATACAAGCTATACTTTGCATTTTAGAGAAGCCTCTCCCTGGGGAAACAGACATGTTTTCCCTTTTATCTTCTGAGTGTTGGATTATTGAAATCACTGAAGAGATGCTCAAGTAACAGGTAGTCGTGCTGATCTGGGAAAGAGAATTCCAAGTTAATATATGGAGTTTAGGCTCTCCCTGGGGTACAGACATTCACTGGCACTGTGAGCAAACCTACCTGCAGAACCAACCGCTTCAGCCTCTGCTCTCATGGAGCAACATCTGTGCAGCTATGAAAGGTACACCTCATGAGAATATTTTGGTCCTCTGAAAAGGGCAAATTTGCCTTTGCAGAGCTGACCAAGGAGATCATGTGGAGCTGCTGCTGTTGCTGAGAGCTTTCCAGATTCCCAAGCATGTGATCACACCTGGAAACCTCCTATTAGTGCACCCTGAGTTTGCAATTCATCTGCCCTCACTTTCAGAGATGCTGAACACTGACAACACAAGTTACCTGAAAGTACTCATCACCTCCAGGGACAGAGAGACAATCATTCCCAAACTATATTTCCAGTGATCAGTAAAGAGGACAAACAACACTCCATGAAGTATCCTCAGTTGTGCCCCTGCCAGTGGAACTGATCTGGCATTAACAGTTCACACAAGAAACAACTAAGACTTGCCACGAAAGTCTGCCAGACGTGACCTTTCCAAGCACAAGGGAGGAAAGGTGAACAGCATTCCTAAGAACTGCAGCTCGAGTTCTGGCAGCATTAGCTGGCACAGGATGGCACTGCCATGTGACAGGGACACTGGTGACTCCCCAAAGGTCAATGGTTCTGCAGTGCTGCACAAGGTACCAGGGCACACAAGTCAGCCCAAAAGAGTGGACTGGCACTGGGAAAGCAGCAAGTCCAGTTCCCATGGCTGTTTATTACCAGATGCTGCACAGCAGAGAGGAATCTCTAACAGGTGCTGCCAACTCCACAGGCTTAACTATCTTCTCTTGCTGAGCTTCAAATGCATAAGCAAACTCCAGCTGTGTCCCCCCTCCCACTTCCCATCAGTGCTAATGCCCCAGAATCAGCTCCTGGAACACTCCAGAGAATGAGTTACAAGTTTTATACAGGTTAATGTCTCATCAGCCTTAGCTCCTGGACACAGGAAGAATGACTCAGCCTAGAAGTGGAGAGGTGGGAGATACCTAGAGATTACACAGAGATTTCATTGCATGACAGCTGTAGTTCCATGCTGTAATTTATTCAAAAAGCATTTCTCTCGCAGAAAATTTTTGAATAAAGCAAAAAATGTCACTTCAGACTCTGGTGAAAAGATAAAACCCATAAAGAACAGTATAACAAGTCAAGTTTTAATAGATTTATAAAATTCATATATACAAAACAGTAAACTAAGTCACCAAAGCTATAAAATACACTTTTTACACATCACAATATAATTTTATCTAGTACACAGTTTTCATAAGTTGAAACTATTACAGCAAGTAGCTGCTTCTATCACAGATGCTGTTTTGGTGCTAGAAAGACACTTATGTGAGCAGTCTGGAACTGTGCTTTTACTTCATGCATTTTTCACCTTCTTTTAGTTTGTCGCTGTTTTTTAAGTACTTTCCTGTGAATTGTTAAGAAAATTAAGGCTAAACTCAGGCCTTTGTTGCCCAATGCAGTGAACTGGTTTAAAAAAAGACTGATATTGCATAGTATGTGTGTTAATGCATAGGCACCAGAGAGCAAGTACATTGCAGAGTAGAAGATAACATTACTTGGCTTCCTAAGCTACGTGGTCATGTCACGAGATAACCTGGTGTTTTGTCAGTTTGCTTTCGTACATATTGGTTCCACAAACAAGACAACTCATCACTAGAGCAAGAAACACTAGCCATGTTCAGCACAGTCTCCAGAAATACTTTTTAATGTGTATCAACAACTCAAGCTCATTCCACGTTCCAGGTAACAGGAGCTGTTCACTGGAGGGACGCTCGTTATCCTACGGAGAGTTAACGGCTTCAATGCAAACGGGAGTTTGAACACACATTTCCAAACCTTAGTCCATCAACCACCTTTCCAAGTCTCATGAGCTCCCAACAGATCATTTCTCTTCCACATCCCCCTTCTTCCCTTCTGTCTCCCCTCAGCCTTTGTGCCCAACCACCTGCACACGAGCTCAGCACAAGAGATGGACGGGAAGGACCGGCAGAGAATCCACACCACTCCAAATCTGTCACTTCCCTCAAAAGATGCTCTCTCAGGTCCTAGTTCTTAAAAAATTTTGCTCTCCATCACATGCTCTCCATCATATGTAGTTTTTATTCAAATAATGGAAACAGCCTCTTACCCAGGTCTCTTACCTTCTCATGCTCTGGTATCTTGAAGAAAGTTTAAGAAGCTGTCAGGAAGGAGTAAGATGCACTGTCTGGCCAGAGATCTGCATAGTGTATTTTAGTAAAAATTGAGTTTTAGCACCCAGTTATGAACAGATGAAGAGAGATTTACAAGGGCAGGCCCAGCCTTGCCAGCCTGCTGTTCTTAATTCACAGCCAATAGCTCTCTGGAGTCACTCAAAGCTTTTGGGTCAGTGCAGATGGCATTTCACTTCAATACAGTCAGTCTTCAAGCACCATCAGCTTTTGGGATCTGTTTAGAAACTAGCTCCCCTCTCCTGCTCCCTTCCAACATACTTTGGCTTTTTTTACCAGAATGCCCATCTTGGAAGTCAGTGCTGCTCTTTTCTTCCCCCTCTGACTGAGTATTTTCACACCAGACAGAAGATACGACTTTCAGACGAATGCCAAGAGCTGGGCTGTGATACAGTTCCTCAAGCCAGGCACAGAACCACTAGCACTGACAATCTAGTACCTCCACACTCCCCACCCCATAAGAAAACAAGCATAGACACACAGACAAAACTTCAACACCGCTTTCCAAATGCCATTAGAAAGATAAAAATGTCAAGAATCGAGCTGAACTGCCCAACCACCAAGATGAGCACAGGGACAGCATCATCTGGTAACACAGCAGCAGTTTCAGCTTCAAATGTCCTGGCTTTTCTCATTTCCATCTATGTAAAAAAAGGTTAGTGTTAAAACAAAGAAGTGCCCACTTCACAGCACAAAGCAGAGATCACTCCAGCTAATTACAAAACAGGTATTATTAAAAAGCACTAGGTTTTGTATTGTCTCACCAATTATTCCTCACTAGGCTAGACAGTCCTCATCTAGAACTGTGGGGAGTCAGTATTAACTCAGGCCAAGTCTGGCCCAGACCATGCCAGTCTTCCTGATCCATAATGGATGCTCCCTAAAAAAACTGTTAAAAGCTCATTTACAAAAGTAGGCACAGATGTTTTATAGTTGCTACTGAAACACCCCCACTCACCACTTTGTGTTACAGAATTGGAGTATGAGGTAAAGAGTTGGCAGTGCTATATTAAACCCCTGACTACACCACGTGATTTTATACTAGAAAAAGGATATAGAAAAGAGGCTACAGCTAAACTTACAGTTCTTGTCATGAGAGATCAGGGTTTGGCTGACAAGACAAACTGCACTGTGTGGAGGTGTTGTTGCATATCACGTTTGTCTCTCAAGCTGGTGTGCATCAAATCATCCATCAATCCAGCAGATACTCCTGAAAATTTGATGACACAAGCCAAGCTAAGTCAGGTGTGAAAACCCACTACTTGAAAATCAGAGGGGCCTTTTACAGAAATCCTGTAGGTCCATGCAGCAGAACAACTTTTTTTCCCCAGAAGTAAAGAGGTACATGCACAGAAAAGACTCCAAAACATAAGTTAATGTAAGTTTAAACATAGTTAATACAAAGACACCCATCCAAAGGCAGCTGAGGACTTGTTCTCTAAGATGCTGTTCTGTGGAAGGCAGCTGTGGCTCACTAAAGAAAGCTGCTGGTTTCTTCAGCAGTTCCATGTCTATTCCTTTAATTTCTTCAATTCCATAATTTTCTGCAGGTCACAGTAACCAGGATGGGTGAATACCTGGGGGCATGAGGCCATGGGGATGGGGGGACAACACATCAGCAGGATGGGACACACTTTTCAAATGCACTGTTTTTCATACCAGATTTTAGCTCTCCTGGTGGAATTCCATTTTTGTCTGCAGTGCCATGGACAAATGAGTTCTTCCTACTCCATCTCCCTACAGTTCCTTTGCTATTAGTTTCTCCACTCTGCCTGCCTGAGGCTTCAGCTGCCTCAGAAAGCCTGGAAATGATCATCTTCAGGAGCTCCTTCGTGCTTGTAACTAGTTCTAGGTTTTACACAGCAATAATTGAAAAAAATCAAATATATTATCAAGTTAATAAGTCAAATAATCTATGCTGCCATGCTTAATAAGATCAATTCTTTGTATCAAACTGAAAGAATCTTTGAGTTGTAAAATTGAGTGGCCAGTAACTGCAATTCCATAAACAATATTAATTTTAAACATTAAGAACCACTTAATTTGTTTGAAGTGACAAGTGCCTATTAAATATGTCACTTCCAGAAAACCATTCTTCCTTTTTAATTCCAATTCCCTGTGTCACCTTGCAATGCATCCAAGAATTGTTCAGAGAATGACAGCACTGCTATCTGAAGGAAGGGGACTGACTGACACATCTATTACCTTAAAGCCTGTTTTGAGGACAACAAATATAGAGTAGTGTTTGATAAATGATTCCCATTTAGTTAGTTTTTCTACTTAAACTGCAAGATTATGTAAGTCTCTCCCACAAGCACATGCTGGAAGCACTTCCTCTCTTTGTCCTCAGGAGAGACAACCCGTTTGCAACACTCCATCACTGGTCACTGACCCTGGGGTGGCAGAGGAGGGACAGCAAAAAGCTGCTTTTTTCTTAAAAAAAAAAAAAAAAGGAGTTGTTCAAGGTCTCCATTTGGTTATCATCCTGCCTGTGACCCATTTCCTGACCAGCCAAATGAACAATAAGCCTATAAAGTTAACAGAAAGAGATGTTCTCTCCAGCTGTGTTTACCTGCAAAGTTCTCCAGGATGTCACTTAAAATAAAGTTTTCTATTTGTTTCTGGTGAAAGGACTAAGCAACCAGCCAAGCCTGTCCTGAGATGTTTGAACAACTTCACCTACCTAAGCTCTGCTTTAGTAATTAACTGATTTACCAAAACATGATTTTCTGGCTTTACTATACTACAATTTACCTTGAAAAAACCCAAACCCAAACCCCTCAGTTGTGGCAAGAAGTGGAGTGTATTTTGCAGAGAAAGCTGACACTTAAAAAATCCCCCCACGTCCTTTTTACTCATGGGCCACCAACTTGGCAAACTTGAAAAGTGCTTGACTTTTGCAAAAAGAGTTTCCTGATCTTGGGTTCCTACTGTGATCCATCACTATCCAAATTTGACAGAACACTGAGCCCACAGAGCCAAACTGCTGACTGGCCCCTCACTTAGGCCCATTCCATCAATAAAAAGAAGAAAGGCAACAGTGGGCCTAAGGTGAGCAAACTGGCTCCCTAAACCTGACTTAGTGTGCAAAACTGCCATATCGTAACAAAAAAAAGCTTGAGAGCTCAATATGAGATATCTCATGCTGTTTCTTTTCCAGGTGCAGATTTTAAGTTACTTAAAAGTTGCATTATTAGCTCTGTTGAGTTTTAAATCCGTAAGGTGACCAAGGATACAAAACCATGGATGAGCATCAAGAGAAAAACAGAACAGGAAATTCCATGCTATGCCTCCAGATAAAACTACAGTAGATTCAGACAAAAAAACTGAGGTAATTCTTGAGAAAAAATACAGTTGAAAGGGAATGTTTAACTCATTTGAGAAAACAAGCATAATATTAACCCATCTGGAAAATTTAGTGAAAGAATAAAGCTCACAGCAAACTAAGAACTGAAGTCAAGTCAACCTAGAAGTCAGGTCAGCCCACAACTGCCTTCTCTTTCCCAGTGTCTTGTGTGAAGTGAAAACCACTACCAAGAACTCAGAAAACATCTGACAGCTTTGAAAGCAGCCTTAGCCTTCAGCCAAACAAATGGGCTTAGAGAAACCCATGTGATGAGTAAACTTGTCTGCATCACACCGTGTTGGAACATTTACCTTTTCAAATGTAATAATCTTAAGATTTTCCTCCCATCTGAATATTAAGAGTCACAACATTATTCTCCTTCAAGGTTAGAAATGAATAAATATTTAAAAAGACAAGTTGGTCCTGGCAAAATAAGACTTGTTGCAAGGAAACTAATTCCTGTTTAAGTTTGCTCAAATTTAAGTTAGATTTTCCCATCTGCAACTTTTCAGTTGCTTCTTACCTCAGGACTGTGCCTGTTACAAGCACTGACACAGCCACAGCTTTTCCACTCTGGAGCCTGCACAAAGAAAGCCAAGGGGCTGCTACATCAGGCAACTACACAAAAATACTGATATGAACATCTGCAAGCTTCAGAGAGGAAGAAAGATTCCAGATTTTATCCAAATTAACATGAAAGGACAACGGAACGGGACTTTTCTTTGACCACATTTCCCATGGGATTACCAGCTGAAGTAAAACATTGCTTGTTTTGACATGCCATTACAGGCTCAAAGGGGATAAGAACTCCAGGGAATCTGCTGACTTTTTATGGGTACAAACAGCCCTTCAGGTTTTATTCTTGGATAAAAACTATGACAAAAATTGCACAGTAAACTATGTTTGAGAGTTACCTAAAGGAGAGCACTACAATATCTTCGGTTTGTCCATGTACCCCACTGTAGTAGAAAAGATTCAATGTCTGTACACAAAAAAGGCACCTGACAGAGATTGAGAGCACAAGGAAATTCAGAGTTCAGATCAACATTATTCACAGCCTCTCACCATTTTACACACAAACCACTGCCCAAAACCGGCAACTCCAAACTCAGCCGTGCTCAGAGTTACATGTGCATTACTATAGGCTAAAGATCCCATTAAGACACAGATTAAAGGCTAATTTTACAGCAAGGTCTTGCTGTCCAAACACATCAGTGCAGCTGGAAAAGCTGGGATCTCTAGGGTGCTCAGTCTTCCTGTAAGGTCAGCTGTTGGGACTAATCAAGCAGCTGCTGTGCTACCAAAACCTTTGCTTAAGAGTTTGATCAGCTTTCAAACCTGTGAGTGTAGATGAAGCCCTGTCACACGAGATACTGAACCTTCACACATGCTGCCCACTGTGAGAACAGTGCTGGGTCTCCATGGAGTACATCTCACTCGAGCACCCACTGTGCAGATACGTGGTTGGGTGCTCCAGCACAGGCTGCTTCACCAAGGAAAGCAGTTTTCCCATGATGGAACAACCTTCGCCTATAGTGCAAAATAAACCCTTCTCCATATCAGCGAGGCTTCAGCTTCCCATCCCATTCACTCCAACACGAGTTTCCTCACACAGCTTTAGATTTCTGCCTCAGGAGACTCAGGCAAAACCTTCAGACAAGAGCTGTGCATCCACCTCGGTAAGTGGACTGTAGACCCTTGGCAAAGCTGAACACGCACACAAGATCTGGTTATATTCCTAAGGGTTAACAACAGGACTTCCATTAACATTCTCCAATACAGCTGCCAATCTCATTATGTTTAGATTAGTTTGATCGATTCAGCACCTCCAAACTACAAAAAAAAAAAAAAAAAAGGCAGTTTGTACGACTAGTGTCTCTGAAAAATGAGTGTATTCACTTAAAACAATGTGTCTTCCATACATGGTTTGTCAGAGATTTCTTTTTTTCTAAGAAGGCAGAAGGTGGTTGTGTTGTTCAGCGTCCCAAAATTGGTACAGAACCTACCATGGCCAGGGTTCAGTAGTGTTTCTAGTCCAAATGATTCAGTAGCTAACATCAATATGTGACTCCTCCGGCCTATAGCTCCTGTTTGGACTGGCTAGTTTACAGCATTCCTGAGCCAAGTAATTCGCATGGGTCCTACACCGCATGCAAGGGCCATAAAGAAAGGATAAAAACTTTGATCTAACCCTCCAGCAAAATTGTAACAGAACACTGGCTGCTCTCCTTCACTGCAACATGATATCCTTCAGGTTCTCCTGCAGGATGGTGTCCTTCACGGCGTGGAACACGAAGCGGATGTTCTCCGTGTCTATGGCCGTGGTGAAGTGGTGGAAGAGCGGCTTGGAGCGGTTCCTCCTCTTCCTGTCGAAGCACTGCACCAGGTAACGCTGCACGTCCTCCAGCCGGTGAGGGTCGCCCTTGAAGTCCGAGAAATACTTCTTAATGCTGACAGTCTTTACCTTCTCAACGAGAAGATCCATCTTGTTGAGGAATAGGATAATAGAAACGTTAAAGAAAAGCTTGTTATTGACTATTGTCTCAAAGATATTCATGGACTCCACGAGTCTGTTTGTGCGCCTGTCTTCCATGAGAACCTGATCGTATTCGCTGGAGGAGACCATGAACAGAATGGAAGTTATTCCATCAAAGCACTGGAACCATTTCTGACGCTGAGATCTCTGTCCACCTACATCCACCATCTTGAAAGGGATTTTTTTAATGATGAAATCATGCTCTACGATCCCCTTCGTGGCTTTTCTGGCCAGCAAAATATCTTGTTTGCTGGGGAAGTAATTCTGGAAAAGAAAGGAGAGAACTGTCAAAAGGAGTTCTTCAAAAATGCTGTCCAAGGCCAGAATACTGAAGTAATGAGTAAAATCATCAGGAGCCATGTTTTTTAAATTATCAGGTGAACAATGAATACTCAGCTTTAAAATACTGGACTGTTGACCATTTAGCTCAACACTGGTGAACATCTAGAAGACCCTGAGACATATACAAGAATAAAAATATAGGACTAATCCACTTGTTCACATTTTTATCCTTCAAGCCTCTTGTTTTCAGGTTGAAGTCTATGTTTTCATGATCAAATTCTTAGATAGTGTTATTTCCACTTAGTGTTCAATAAAGCAGATCACCAAGTCATCACTGAAAGGATTTTCTTTTTTAAAATCTAGTTTTTCACAGTTCATTACTCCTAAAAAGACCACCTCAAAAGCTTTAGTGGAAATACTCCTTCCAGGTTTACACCCCCATGACCAGTGAGTACAGCAACACATTCTACCATAAGTTGTGGTCCAACCTACCACTGTAGAGAGATTTGTTCTTCAGTAGCTTATCACTGTTACTATTTGGGAAAATCATCTCCCTTCTTTCCCTTCCAAGTCTCCTGACAGATGTTTCCACTATGGATTTTGAATCCTAGAAGTGCTAGTAATGTTTTTAATTTTTTTAAGGTTCCGTTCTGCTACCTTAAGTAGCACCAGCCACATCATGAAAAGTGAATGAGATCCAGAGACCGTGCAGAAGGGCTGATAAAAGAAAATATGTGCATAAATACAACTTCCACGATCTGTCAAAAACGAATAAACAAATCCTAAGCTTCAGTTTCATAGGCTGAAGTTTACTATTTCTGGAGAAAGAACAATGGAGTTATTTACTACACTATTATTTAAAAACAACAAAAAAGCCCAAACAAAAATCAATGATCATTGCACACCCAGGCTTCCACTGTCTCTTTGAGCTCTCTGGTTCAGAAAGGGAAGGTGGTGTCTTACCAGCTGACCGATGCGATCCAGGTTATCCAGGAAGTATTTCACCGATTCACCCTGTGGAAAAGGAAAGAGATGGGAACTAAGCTTGTTTCTAGGACAGCAAATCCAATTGAACTAAGGCCTTTTCACTTTCCAGCATGCACTGAGGGCTAACAGAGCAACATCACAAGTGGAAGCTTGGACACCATCCCGATACACTTCAGGGGCTGGAACAATACAAGCATTACAGAACCTAATTCACAAAGTGCTGATAAGCAAGTGGAGCTGCCATAATATAGTACTAATGTGTAGGAAAGGCAGAATTTCTTCTAAATGCAGTTCTCTATTAGGTCTAGAGAAATCAAAGTTGAGTAGAGATTTGAATAAATGCTCAAATCTATCCAGTACATCTTCACAATGAAAAGGAAGTGTCATTAAAGTCAGTTCTTTGACTTAAAGAATTAGGGGTTTTTTCCCCTTGTAAGATGAATGCAGTTAACTGACACTGAGTGGGAGTAAAACGAAACACATTTCTAAGAAACCAATGTATTTTGTTTAAAATTAACAAAGGCATATCCTAGACTGAGTGGCACATCTTCAGGAAAGAGAAAGATTTAAGTCACCCACAATTTGTAATGATTTAAGCTAGACTTGCTTGTCACAAACAAATGAAAAAAAGGAACATTCTGAAGGACTTGCTCTTCTACAGACAGCTTCCCTTTTAGGCTCAAGAGTTTAACAATGTATTTGCTCATCTTGTACAAAGTTTACCAGTTATATTGAGAAGAAATAGGCAGCATTTACAGGGAAAATGTATTCTTGTGTGAAAATTTCCTCTTGCATAAGAGGTTTCTGCAGACTGCTCTGGGGTGAAACTCTCCTTCAAACACTTCCCCTGCATTTCTTCAGATGAAGATCTGTTCAGTGAGAAAGTATTCTTCATTGTCCAGGACACGTGTCTTGCAGTTGTAGCCATGTAATGAGAGTGATAAAATGGAAAATCCTGCTGCCTTTTAATAATTTTAGGCAGCAAAACAAATTCTTTATCACAGCTGTGTCAGCAGTGACCAAACTGACCGTAGGTGCCCTCTCCAAGTCACTAATTCAGAATGGAACCTTCTCCAAGTACCAGCTCAGACTCCAAGAGCAATATAAATTCTTAAATCACACCTTCTCCTCGACACCACAGGCTTGAGGCAGCAGAACAGAATTATTCCCCTGCAGTACAACTGTAAACAGATGCCAAGACAACAGTTCATTGTGAGGAATCAGACTGGAGATCAGAGGATTCAGGGTATCACACAAGTACACACTCCCAGCATAAGGCACAGACAAAAAGGAGCTGGAGCTGATTATTTCCTAACATTTAAAACTAAAAGTGTCTTTTCATAAAAGGAGAGAGAACACAGTATTTGCAAAAGACTACCATGTATCAACAAAAGATTTACAGTGGATTGCTAGCAGAACAAATTGTCTTTTTTTTTTGAGAGAGTGGTAGTGGGGGGGAAAGTTTCCAAAGAACAATTGCTCTAAGAGCTTCCTTACGATCATGAATTTTCATAAGGTGAAAGTAATTTCCTGTATTTTTTGGCACTCTGTGGATCAGAAGAGATATCACAGACTGCATGAATAAGAGAAAAGGGCTTCCTGTACAGCATTAGTCATGTTTGGGAGATGGGAGAGCCCAAAAAGAAAAGATCACTGAAGCTACAAAAAAAACCCTTCTCTCTCTATTGTGCTCTGTCCCACACAGTGTCTTTAGATGTGCAAAAATACTGCAAAGGGGCCATCTCTGATACAGCTTCTTCCTATTTTCTAGCAGGAACCCAGTTGCTTTAAGAGGCCTTGCTGTCCATCCACCCTCCCACGCGGAGCAGGAAACAGCTGGATGCCTTAAACTGCTGGGACACACAGGCAGGATCACCTGATTTACAGCTTCTGCCTCCCCTGTTTTCCACCCCACACATCAATCACTTGGACATTGTGCACATTTATAAGAAGGTAAGAAAATAAACTGATTAATGAAGAAAAAAATGTTCATTTTTGCAGGGATTTAGGGAAAGCAGGCTTCTCTAGTTTCTTACACAGCTCTTCCTAACGCTCCAATTAAGCCAAGTTAATTAACTCTGGGAAATTTTAAGCAGGAATTGCAAAACACTTGGAGAGCTGGGTAACCAAGTCAGGTTGCTGGAACAGGTGTGAGCACCATATGCACGGTCTGACAGATCTGAAGGTGCCTGAATATTCTCTTCTAGCACAGAATTCAAAGACATCCAAGTACTTAAGTCAAAATATCTGTTTCCAGTCAAAACAACAAACCCCCAACAAGCTCCGGAGGGTCTGAAGTTAAAAAAAGCTCAAAACATTAAAGCACACAAACATGAAGGGAGGAAAACCACCCGCCAAAAAGCTCCCAAAACAACAACCACCCCAAGCCCACCGCACACACTGAAGAGCTGCTTTAATGATTCCCTGATTAAGTCCTGAGTTATGGCCTAAGGAAGGGTGGATTCAGTTCCCGCTCCAAAGGCTTCTGGAATAACCTTGCCCTACATCTTAGTCAGATTCACAGAAAACTGGGATGTTCTGGGAAGTGTGTGGGGCATTTCAGTTCATCCACAGGCAGCACACACAACTGATTCAGCACTGACTTGATGAGCAACTTGTAACATATTTAAACGAGGAAATGACGGAAACTCCAGGTTTTACCACTGTTCTGTGTTAGTATTTTTAATCAGAACAATTATACTAACTGAACATTCCTTTCTATTCCAATTTTTCCTTGGCATCCAGAGAAAATAGACAGCAATATTAATCAGATCTAGAAGGCAAGTTTATTTAGCTTTACATCAAGGTGCACTTGAATGCAGTTTTGAATACCATTGATAAATTATTATTTATGCAAAGCTACCTCGTGCTTCAGGTATTATAAACCCATACAAACGTCTGTGGATATTTATATGTATGTATATAAAAATACACACCCACAAAGAGTTTATAAATCAAAGCAGATTTTCCATTCAAGGCAAATTATTACCAAAATAAAGTATCAGCTGCCCATCTCATATTGAATTATTTTTTTCTCTTGAAGACACTGACCATAAAGAAGCTGGTTTGGCTCTTTTGGGGTAAATTCTTAGTGTTTCTCCAATATCTGTCTGACCATTCAGCTGCATTCAAAGCTGGCTTAGCACTTCAAATGCTCTCCTTCTCCAGATCTTAGCTAGTTATTTCTGGTTCACCAGCACGACTTCCTATAAAAGTGGCAGCAAATATTTGCAATTGATTCATCAGATACTAAAAATATCTTTATGCAGATTGATGACTCCAGTTTCAGTATTTTAACAGTTCTAGTGAAAAAGAGATTTTTAAACTCGCACTCTATTTTAAGCCACGTTTGCAAGTAGCAAAATAGAAAGCACACAAAGTTATTTATACTATATGTATATTATTTATACACTATATGTGTATTTATACTGAATGTAAATACCTAAATATAATCACTTCGTGGTGTGTTCACTTAAAAAAAACAAACAAAAAAGGTCCAGGTCAGATCCTTTACAGGCTGGTGTTGGGAGAAAAACTGTTGCAGCTCAAGAAACTTCCTTAGATCAATGACATTCATAGAAGGTTGTTGAGCTTTTCAGAGATTAATAAAATTCAAATCTTGTTGTATTTCGTTGTTAGTACACTATTTCCTTTAAAATATATTCTAACAATATTCATAAATAATGTTAAAATATTAAAGGCTTAATTTCAACCATCACAGTACTTAGATAGGAAGCCCCATCACATCACAGTCCCAGCAGAGTCTGCCAGTGAAGCACACATGCACTGATATTTCTTATTTAGTTTATTTTTAACAAGTAGTCCATTAGTATTTTCACATTTGAAAGTTTTAACAGCAAAGCCTGAGATGACCATCATGTATGTGGCTGTTGACACAAACCAGCTAGCTGGTTTTGGTTTTTTTTTTTAATCCTCCTTGATTATAAATCAAGATGTCCAAGCATTGTCCTGCACAGGGAAGAGTGACCTCTGAGTTATGAATTTTACATAATTCAGACAGTCCTTCTGAGTGCACCAGAGCACAGACCATTAGTCCTGAGCTTCTTCTCCCCACACAAGAGTTACCACAAAGGCCTGGCTGACTCATCCTCTTAGTGCTCATCTCCTCTCCCTCTGCAGTACATATCCTCTGAGTAACAGTTTTGCCAACTGGGACCAAGAGAAGGAATAAGAGATGCTGTTCCCATTGTTCAGTAGGATGAGTCACTGCACATCTGGGAACTGGGAGAATCAAGAAACACAAACAGAAGGCCTGAAATGAGCCCACAAGTTCCACAATGCAGCATCTCTATTGGATTTGTTTTTCAATTACTATTTTTTTAACTGCCCTATCTGCAGTATGAAGTTTGGTGAAGTCAGACAAAATAGTACAATTTGTTTAAAAACTGACTGGTCGAGGAGAAAGGGAGGAAAGTTAAGATGTAAACATATATTCCTGCTTCCTGTAATAGTCCTCCGAAACTCTTTTTATATGCTAGATTATTTTGACCACGGCACTCTCAAGGGGCAAAAGCCATGAAATTAAGGAATTTTTAATCTCTACATTTTGTACTATGTTAATGCCATCTTAACATTAGCTCCAAACAAGTCACCATGAAAATAACTAATTGAATTCAACATCCCTGTCCCTTCAGGCTACATTGGGAGGACATAGGAAATCTCCACACAGAAATATTATAACTAATCTGGCATCACTTCCTTTGCCATTGATAGCCTCATTTTGGGCAGGGTTCCCAAGCAGTATTCATTTCATGAAAATAAATGCACAACAGATCGTATGCAGATTACTTTAAAATACCCACAGAAACTCAGTAATAAGACATGTTCTGCAAGGCCAGAATTTATCAACTTCTCACTCAGCCAGTTATTCAAAGTGATTCTTGGTCAGATCATAAGGGGCAGTGAAACATCCCAGTGTTCAGTTCCCTGAAATACTGGCTCATTTCAAACTTTTCCTTCTGAAAAGCAGTTCCTCTGAATTCTGCTCTGAACTAAAAAGACTTGAA